CCCCCGCAACTGCAGCTCCAGCCTCAAAACAATCCCAAGAATCATTATGTGATTCCAGTATTGTTTGGGCCTCTCCACTACCCAGCTTTCCACTAAAAAGCTATTTCCAGCAGCAGGAGGTTGCCAAGAGCATGTCTGTACAAAGTAAGAGGCAATACCCGCTTTCCAGATCACTTTAAAAGTTCTGCCTCTAGTTTGTTAAGAAACAATGAATCCCACACTGACACCCAGAATTAAAAGAGACTTCATTTAGCATCACTTAGTGCATTTGCAGAACAAATTTTAGAAGGCATTCTATGGAACCTTGTTCCTTGGCACAAACATTTACATAGAACTTAAAGACATTCCTTAGTCTCTTAAAAGGAGAAACTGCCCCACATACACACACAAATCAGTTTAGATGAGTACTTGTCCAAGTGGCAGAGCCCAAAGCTGATAAGGGTGCAACTCACTCCCTCCTATCAGAGAGATATTTTTAACAGTTATTTGCTGATCACACAAAACAAGCTTCCATTAATTGGTATAAAGTGTTACCAGAAAAACAGACACACTAGCAGAGCACACTTATGTGGACTGAGTCCATGACCCGCTCCAGCAGTCATTTGAGTCTCACCTGAATAGCAGCGAGTCCAACAAATGCATGGACAATGTCATCAAAAGTGTCCTCATCTGCTTGCAGAAGCAGGTCCGAGACCTTCAGGCCTGTGTCCTTCAAAGCCTTGTCTGAGCGCAATATAGACTGGCGAAACAAATCCAACTTCATAAGGCTCAGGCCCATACCTTTCCACTGTGCTCCCATGCCTGCAGGACAGGCAAGGAGAAAGTGAGCTTTAGTAACACTCCATAAAAGGAGTAGACATCAAACACTTGCTCTGGCAACGAAAGAATTCTGTGTAAGAGCAAAATGTACATTTCTAATACCCTCTGATTTAGGCACTGCTTTTTATTTTCCTGGACTTTGCTACCATCAGAAGATAGCGAAGATCGAAGGACTAGAAAAAACACAGCAAATGTGAGTCTCCTAGACATATCACAGGGCTGCAACATATTTCCTCATGCTAGAGTGGAAAACAATGTTAGAGCACGGAATCCAATTGCTCAAGCCCCAGATCTACAGAGGAATGCAAAAGCCTGGACACACTGCTGCACACCTACCTGAGCAGATGTACCAGAGCGGTCTACCAGATGCTTTAACTTTCTGAACCTCTTTTATGTCACTCTCGGTGCCAACTAGTGTGTAGCCCCTGTAGGGCAAGGAGGATACAGGAATTGTAGAGATATCACTGAGCAGGCTTAGAAATGGGATGTGTCCTTCATGTTTTCTGCTCTCCTGAATTAGTATTTCCACAGCTTCCTGGGTTCTGCCACAAACTTGAACCAGTCTTGGCATGTTACAAGTCTCCAGAGGCTGGCATTTGTTCTTATTTGGCCTCAGAATGACATGAGCATTAACACCTCCAAAGCCAAAAGAGTTGATACCAACAAGGCCACCTTTCACTGGTGTTGGTTTACAAACTACCTCCAAAGAGCCATCTTGTAAGGCAGGAATATCTGGATGTGGGGTATTGAAATGAAGATTTGGAGCCCACAGCCCATGTTCCAGAGAGAGAATGACCTGGAAGAAAAAACAGAGTGTTCTGTGCTCCACATTTCTTGTAACAAACATGCTTTTGTTGTTATTGTTTTACTATAAATAACCATGTAGCATACACTAAAGCAGCTCTCTCTATGTTTGGATACACGGACACTTTGGAGAATAGCATTATTGATGTTACTGAGGCAGTACCTACTTCACCTAGGCAAATTTTAAGTCCATGCAGGAAGTCAGCAGTGAAGGTGAGGGCAGTAGTTTTAAGTTTAGCTTCCAGACTCTTTCTAACTGGAAGGAAAGCCACGCAGTCTTCCTGGAAAAGCAGCCTGGCTACTAAGAATACCACATCTTCCTTCTCTCCTTTTAGATCCTGTCCCTTCATCACACTCCGTTTCATCTCTCCCCAGTCACATCTCTTCCTTATCACAATGAATGCTTCCATTTCTGCCTTTGCTGCAAAACAGCCAAGCTGAAGCACTGGTAAAGGAGTTTGCTTGCTGCTTCGCACCCATTTGTTGCCTTCCTGACCCAAAAAAGAAGGAACACCAGACTGCTCAGAACTGGCAGAGCCAAAGTAAAGTACAGAAACAGCGTGAGAGAATAGCTGTGCCAAAAAAAAACCCACACAACCCCAAAAAAACCCAAGAGCTCCCTTTTCTCAGCAGCATCTCTACAAACAGCCCATGACACCAAGCCCATACTCCCCTGTGGCACAAGTCCAGCAAATCACAGACTACAAGGTCAACTGCAAACACTCAGTGCTCTGTATGTTTGGCAGTTCCTTCGTCACCCCAAAATGGTCAGAGGAACAGGTATCGGTTTGGGAACTGTTCTTCCAAGTTGACTATCAGACATGTCAGCCTACCTGGGAGAACGACCAGCACAAATGCATGAATGACTTCAACTCCGGTCAGCATGTTTAAAGTTGCAGTGACCCAAGTGTTTTCATGAATGCTGTCCTACACCTACAATACTATGCACTATGAACTTGCTGTTGCTTTACACAGCATACATATTTGTACTTTTAAGTCTGACATGGTTTCTACCCAGGTTTGAGAGCGCAGTACAGTGAGCGTACACCAGAGCCACCACGAAGCTTTGTCTTTGCTATACAGCAAGTAATTAGACAGGCTGAGTAGTTCAAAGGTGCAGGTGAGTTTTCCCTTTCTCACCAAAATTTAACTAAAGTGGCCTTGGCAAGCCCTAGTTTCTTTCCTGCCTATCTACATAATTAATGGATTCTCTTCAAATCTGAAATCAGATACTTTCAAGATCTATTTTCCTGACATCTCACATATAAGAGCATTTTATGGAATTCCAAAAGAAAACATTCACAGAAAATGCAGACTGCCCGAGACAGTTACTGTCTAAGAGACAGTGGCCTTCGTGTAGTTTCTGGCTTGGTCTCAAGGACTCCTGATCTGCCATTCTGATTAACTTCCAAATCTTAAAACACCAAGTGCTGCCCAACTTTCAAAGAATCAAGAACAGAGACAGAGCTTCCAAAGCCCTTCCAAAGCTTCAGGTGCTTTCAAGATGCCAGATCTGGAAGCGAGACCTAACACAACTTAATAAAACTATAGCAAAAAGATATTCTAGCAGGCATGATGGGTGCCATGGGCTTTTGCCTACAGCTGTAAGTTCTGATACAAAGTTAAGTGAGAAAACTGATGGGAAGAAGAAACAACAACAAAAAAACAACAACAACAACAACAAAAAAAAAAGTGAGAGAACATGGTGTCAGACAAGTCTTCAAAAAGAAATTGTGGTCCTTGTCTTTGCAGTTCTGCATCCTCTAAGAAACACAGACAGGGAAACAGTACCTCAAAGTTATGATCCTGTCCTGACAGATCACAGCAGAACTGTTTATAACTTACAACACAGTATGGATGGAGAGGTTTATTTTAGGACTCAGTTATCATTCCTTCTATGAAGGTGTCAGTCTGAGGGATACAGGTGCTAAAAAAAGGAAACTTTTCTCTACAGAGAAACAGACACTGCTGTCTCCACGATTTATTTGCAGATGACGCTATTCACAGCAAGTTGTATGTATTCAGGTCACAATAATGACTTGAAAGAGCCTAAAATTCTAGCAGTGACAGTGTACGTGACTTCAATTTGTGTGGCTCTAAGGCTGTCAGTAATAGGCTTACAGCCAAGTGTGAACATTAGCTAGCTCTCTGCTAAGCAGTTTAGCAGCCAGAGCCAACAGATGATTGTCTGCCTATAGCAGTAGTTAGTAGGCTGGTTGCTGAGACAACCAGTTATTCAAGCTGGTAGCCTCATCCCAAAGAACTCACCTGGCTTCTTGCCAACACAAGAGAGAAGAGGAAGAGATGAGACATCCCTGACAAATAGCCAGAAGGATCAGCTACTCTTCTGGCACCAAAAGCCCACACTGCCTCTTATCTTTGGTCATTGCCAACTACTCCAAACATTTAAATCCCTCTATTTGTATGCCCCCCCCAAACCCAAATGACTTACAGCAGAGTTCCATTGAAAGGTCCAGTGTAAGGATAATCAATAAAGTGATCCCAAAGCCCTTATTCTGAGCAGATTCATGCTTC